ATACCAGAAGAATAATGAGATCAAGAAATTGAGAATCTATTTGAAGAAATAATGACTGAAAATTTTCCTAACCTGATGAAGGAAAAGGACATACAGGAAGCGCAGTGAGTCCTAAGCAAGATGAACACAAAGAGGCCCACAGCAAGATACATCATAATTAAAATTCCAAGGATCAAAGACAAAGACAGAATCTTAAAAGCAGCAAGAGAAAGACAGTTAGCCTCCCATAAGACTGTCAGCTGATCTCTCAACAAAACATATCAGGCCAGAAGGAATTGGCATGAAATATTCAGTGATGAAAACCAAGGGCCTAATGAAGACTACCTTACCAGCAAGGCTATCATTTAAAAATTGAAGGTGAAATAAAGATATTTCCAGGCAACAAAATGCTAAAGGAGTTCATTACCACCAAACCAGTATTTTAAGAAATGTTGAAGGATCTTCATTAAAAAGAAGAAAAAAGAGGGAAAAAGAAGAACACAGTTATGAAGAATAAAATGCCAATAAATATGTACTTATCAATGTAAATGGTTTAAATGCTCCAGCCAAAAGACAAAGGATAGCTGAATGGATAAGAGAACAAGACCCATTTACAGAAGTAGGCAAAAGTAGGTTTACAGTTATTCATATAAAAAATAAAATAATTAATAAGTAATAATATAAAAATAAATAATAAAAATACAAGAATAAGCTGAAACCAGTTTGGCTCAGTGGATAGAGCATCGGCCTGCAGACTGAAAGGCCCCAGGTACGATTCCGGTCAAGGGCATGTATCTTGGTTGTGGGCACATCCCCAGTAGGGGGTGTGCAAGAGGCAGCTGATAGATGATTCTCTCTTATCAATGTTTCTAACTCTGTATCCCTCTCTCTTCCTCTCTGTAAGAAATCAATAAAATATATTTTAAAAAAATACAGGAATAAAATCTATGTTGCACATACTCACAACTATATAAATACCCCACTGAGATAAATGAATACACCTTCCAGACAGAAAATCAACAAGGAAAGAGTAGCCTTAAATGACACACTAGGTTAGATGGATTTCTTCAGAGCATTTCACCCCAATGCAGCAGAATATATTCTTTTCAAGTGCACATGAAACATTTTCTAGGATATACCACATGTTAGAACACAAAACAAGTCTCAATAAATTTAAGAAGATTGAAATCAAATACCAAGCATCTTCTCTGACCATTGACAGTATGAAACTAGATATCAATCACAAGAAAAAAATCCGAAAAACACACAAACACATTGAGGATAAACAACATGTTACTAAAGAAAAATGAGTTAACAATGAGATCAAGGAAGAAATAAAAAGATACCCAAACAAATTAAAAGAAGAACACAACAAGCCAAAATCTAAGGGACACAGGGAAAGTAGCCCTAAGAGGGAAATTCATAGCAATGGAGGCCTACTTCAATAAACAAATCTTAAATAAACAATCTAACCTTACACCTAAAGGAACTAGAAAAAGAACAACATGGCCAGTGTGGCTCAGTGGTTGAGTGTCAACCTGTGAACCAGGAGGTTATAGTTCAATTCCCAGTCAGGACACATGCTCGGGTTGTGGGCTTGATCCCCAGTAGGGGGCATGCAGGAGACAGCCGATCAATGCTTCTCTCTCATCATTCTCTCATCAATGTTTCTTTCTCTCCCTTCTTCTCTGAAATCAATAAAAATATATATATTTTAAAAACAACAACAAACAAAGCCTAAAGTAAGTGGAAAGAAATAAAAATCAGAGCAAAAAAAAATAGTCTTTAAAAAATACAAAAGATCACTGAACCAAGAAGAGCTGGTTCTTTGAAAAGAGAAAACTAGATCAATAAACTTTTAATCAAATTCAAAAAAACAAAAACAAAAAAAAAGAGAGAGAGAGAGAGGACCCAGATGAATAAAATCAGAAATGAAAGTGGAGAAATAACAACTGACACCACAGAAATAGAAAAGACTACAAGAAAATGAACAACTATACGCCAACAAATGGGACCATCTGGAAACAATGGATAAATTCCTATAAACACACAATCTCTCAACACTGATTCAAGGAGAAACAGAAAATCTGAATGAACTGATTACAGTTTATCTAATGAAAATGAAGTTATAATCAAAATGCTCCCAACAAACAAAAGTCCTGGCCAAATGGCTTCACAGGTAAATTTTACCAAAGGCTCAAAGAAGAACTAGCACCTGTCCTTCTCAAACTATTCTAAAAAATTTCAAGAAGCAGGAAGACTGCCCTGGCCTGTTGGCTCAATTGACTGGAACACTGTCCAGTACATCAAAACTTGGTAGGTTGGATTTCCAGTCAGGTCACCAGGTTGCGAATTTAATCCCCTTTTATGGTGCATACAGAAGGCAACTGATTGATGTTTCCTTCTCACATCAATGTCTCCCTCCCTCCCTCCTCTTCCCTTTTTCCCCTCTTTAGAATCAATGAAAAACATAATCTGGAGTAAGGAGTTATTTAAAAGGAAAAAGAGCCCAGCCAGCATGGCAGCGGTTGACCATGAACCAAAAGGTAATAGCTCCATCCCAGTCAGGACACATGCCCGGGTGGCAGGCTTGATCCCCAGTAGGACACATGCAGGAGGCAGTCAATCAATGATTCTCTCATCACCAAATCCATCTCTCTCTCCCTCTCCCTTCCTCTCTGAAAAAAATAATAATAATAATAAAGAAAGAAAATGTCCGTACTATCCAAAGCAATGTATAGATTGAATGCAATTCCTATCAAAATACCAATGGCATATTTCATAGAATTAGAACAAATAATTCAATTTTAGTATGTATATGAGCTGTGGAAGAGAGCACAACAATCCAATTAAAAATTGGGTAGAGGATCTGAATAGATATTTTTTCCAAAGAAGACATAGGGATGGCCAACAGATACATGGAAAGGTATTCAATATCACTAATCATTAGGAAAATGCAAATCAAAACCACAATGAGATATCACCAAACACCTGTTAGAAAGACTCTCATCAAGAGAATAAGAAATAATAAATGTTGGCAAGGATGTGGAGAAAAGAGAACTACTGTGAACAATTGGTGAAATAAAAATTGGTGCAGCCACTATAGAAAACAACACAGAGGTTCTTCAAAAATTTTAAAACAGAACTGCTTTATGGCCCAGCAATTCCATTTCTGGTTATTTATCTAATGAAAACAAAAACACTTAACTCAAAAAGATATATACACCCCATGTTCATTGTAGCATTATTTATAATAGCCAAGATATGGAAACAACCTTTTTGACATCTCTCAGCTTTATCCGTTTCCTTATCTACAAATAAGGCTAATAATAAAAAAACATATCCTACTTACTAACTCACAAGGTTATTATGAGAATCAAGATATGGAAGTACTTTCAAAATCATGAAAAGTTATAGAAAAACAAGCGATTAATGAAGGAGCTGGAGAAGATTAAGATACAGTATAGCAGAGTGAGTGGTTGTATGCTCAGACTTTGGAGCCAGAGTTCATTTATTTGAATCTAAGCTCTACTATTTGCTAGCTATGTGATGACCTTAGGAAAGTTACTTAACTTTTCTGTGCAATGGTTTCTTCATCTGTAAAATGAAACTAATAGTAAATCCAATCTCAGAATTTTGTGAGGATTAAATTAATGCATTTTTAATACTTAAAATAGTGTTTGTCACAGAGCTAGTACTCAAATGTTGGATGTTAGAACTCTAACAATTTTGTAAATGAAGCATCATACCCTAAGAAAGAGTTCAAATACTTCTTGAGAGTACAAAAAGAGCCTCGCAGGTGCTAGTATTCTCTCCCCTTTCAGAAATCTGAGTATATGCCTCCAATTTTGAAAGTAAACATTTTACGTAGTTTCCATTTTCAACTAAAACTACAAGGCTTCCAAAATACTTTACTTTATGCAAATATTTAATATTGTTGTAAAGTAATAGCTACTTTATTTCATTTTAAAATACCCTTTACCTTTTTATTTTAAAATATCTCACTGATTTTTTAATTTTGTTAAAGTAATATGAATTTTGTCATCAATTTTTAATTTATTTTTCTTTGCTTCAAATATTCTCCTACAGAATTTGACTTCTAATTCAAAAGCTATTTGAGTAGCTTAAAAGAGGAAAAATGTAACAATGAACTGGCCAAAAAAGACTGTGTAATATGTCAAAAGGAAACAGCACTAGTTCGAAATGAGTTATTTACTAAGAATAACTAAGAGGAAGTGATGAGGGATTCTCACCCCCCAAAAAAATATAATTTAATAATGCAGTACTCTAAACAATTCATGTGCTAGATTAGTTTATAGTCAGGTCTGCAGCTACAGATAGAGTTAGAGTCTGAAACAAAGTAGGCACCTCACTAAGAAATCAGAGCTGGGAGTCATCTTAAACTTCTAATATGCAACAGGAAATGTTGCTAGTGATTCAAAAGGTGACACCCCTTTCCTTTTTTTTCTTTTTCTGAGTGTCAACAAACTGAAACAAAAATGCTCCTGAAGCCCTGCTACTAGCTAAAAATTAAACATAAAAATTCCACTATTTATATTTAAAAAAACAGCTATAACACTGAATCTGAGCAGATACCAAATAAGAATTATTTCTATCAACATTTACACAGTGCCTCCTGTGTAATATATATATTAACTGTATATAGCCCAATGAACATCTAAAATCCAGTTATCATATTTTCAAGATTCTAATTATCTTAAATTTCAATATGAAGATTAATTATAAATTTCAATATATTAGGACTAGTACCTGGAACTCATCTTATCCACAAAGAGAAAATGAGAAATTAATTTTAAATGAGTTGAATAAATTTCCAAGTAAAAAGTTGGCAACTATATTTTATTCTAATACAGTATTTCAAAGGTCAAATACAACATTACTTATAGCAAACATTCTGAAACTAGCTCAATGAATGAACGTCTATAACTCTCTAATCCGAGCATTTTTACAACATTCTCATCTGTACATGTCAGTGTTGAGAGGGGGTTTTCCACACACACCTCTCTGGCAATGTTACTCAGCGCTTCATCTTCTGCAGAAAATCGGTCTTTCACAGGTGTCCGTTTCCTTCCAGAACCAGGAGTCCCCATCTTGTCAGGACCGTCTTTTAACTCTGATAAATGATTTAGTCTGTTTTCAGCCCTGAAATAAACAAAAATAGAATTATTTAGGATATTTCTCTTTGTGCAGTTTTAACACTCATTTAAACATTCACTTTTAACAAAAATAAAGTATATTTATGTATATACATATAAATTAATGTTAATCATCAAATACTTTTTCTCATTATCAAATTATTCTAACAATATTTAGGATATTTAATTTTATACTAAATTACTGAACATCTCAACACTTTTTATTATACTACCCCTGGCAACCTATGATATTAGCCTCAGAAAACTGCAGTCAACAGTCATTTTACTTGTTTAAAATTACTACAGCTATTTCTAAAATCTATTTCCTTTCCAGAGGCTAGAGGGAGGGTGAAAAGGAATTTCAGAAAAATCATTAAGCCTAAAGCTTTGAGAGAATACATTCAAAATATTTTAATATAGATCTTAAAGTTACAAAGGTAACTTGACTTTTTAGTGTAATTTTAGAAACAATTCCAAGTAACCCTTTATTACATAAAGATCAAATGAAGGTTTATTTTATTGCAATTAACAATAACCAACATTGTCTATCAACAAATATCTGAGTCCCTGCTTTTGCCAGGTAGTATGAAAGTGCCAAATATAGTGATAAACAAAACTAAAGTAGGCTTATAATTAAGAATAAATTTATGGATCCATTATTGTTGTAAGTATTATAGGCCTATTTTTATAAGAGAAGAAAAATTAACCTTTCAAGATTAAATAGTAAAGATTATTTTTTTAAAAACCATCTGACTACCTTTCTAACACAAGGTACATATTTGAAATTAAAGATTCTCATGAGAGTTGCATCCCAATTTGTATGACCTTCCACTTCTTGAGAAATACAGCTCATTTAGCTAACCACCCATTAACTTAAAAATGTTTTTTTAATTTTAACACAGTAAGTTTGTAAAACTTGATTACACTGTGAGTTACAAAAGAATTCTCAAGTAAATTTATCCTAAAAGAATAAAATACATTAAATCTATCAGTGACCTTAATGTACTGGAATTTACTTGATTCAGGCAAAATAAAATAAAACCACTTTGTATCAATCTATCCACTCTTCCAAAAAAAGTATTCTCCAATGAAAATTCCAGCCATTCTCATTATATCTGGCATCATTTCTTATTTCCCATAGATAGCTTGTTATGTCTGTCAATCAAAATGAAGACTGATGATAGTTTATTACTCTGCCATAGAAAATATATCTGAATATAAGAAAAAAACTTGAGAAACCAAGATGGCAGCATAGGTTAAACACCTAAACTACTGCCTTGCACAACAATTTTAAAACTACAACTAAAAGACAAAACATACATCATCCGGAACCACAGGAAGGTTGGCTAAGTGAAAATTCTACAACTAAAAGGAAAGAGAAAAGCACACTGAAATTCAGAGGAGATGCAGAAGTAAAGTGTAGAGGTACAGAGGAGCGCACACAGAGAGGGCTGGCAACTAAGTATGTAGCTGGCTTTCTCAATTGGGAGGGAGACAAAAGCTCTCAACTGCTCTGAACTCCAGTTCTGTGTGAGACTCTGTGTTTCCAGACTCATTCAGGGAGAAACTGGACTGTCTGGCAGCAGGTGAAACTTGAGGGCAGCTTTCTCTCTGAGGTGCCTACAGCAATTACCACAGGTCACTGGAACCAAGGGGCTTTTTAGGGCAGGGATGATGGGAAGCCGCTGCTGTCTGCCCCACCCTGAGACTCTGCTCTATCTAAGCTGAGCACAGAGGCTTTTGCAAGTCTTGTCTCATAAAGGTGTCTCCAGCACAGAAGTTCTTCCTGCATAGACACAGCTGATCCTCACTGCCAACTGGCCTGGAGGTCAATTCCTCCCAGTAATACCAACAATCAAGGCTTAACTACAACAGGACTGTGCACACAGCCCACAAAGGAGTGCACCAAGAGTATCCACTTTAGGTAACAGAGGAGGTTGAGCCACTGGGCCCTACAGGACACCTAGCAAACAAAGCTACTCTATCAACTCAGAGAAGCAGCCAAAATGCGGAGACAAAGAAACAGGTCACGAATGAAAGGAATGGATGAAAGCAAACGACTGGATATAGAGTTCAAAATCACGGTTATAAGGTTTTACAAGAATTTTCTAGAAAAGGCTGATAAATTTAGTGAGACCCTCAAGGATATGAAAAAGGACCAACTAGAAATTAAGCATACACTGACTGAAATAAAAAATAATATACTAAGATCCAACAGCAGATTACAGGATCGTAAGAATCAAGTCAAATAATTGAAATACAAAGAAGCAAAAAACACCCAACTGGAAAAGCAAAAAGCAAATAGAATCCAAAAATATGAGGATAGTGTAAGCAGCCTCGGGAACAACTTCAAGAGTACCACATCCGAATTATTGGGGTGCCAGAAAAAGAGAGCAAGATACTGAAAACCTATTTGAAGAGATAATGACAGAAAACTTCCCCCAACTGGTGAAAGAAATAGACTTACAAGTCAAGGAAGCGCACAGAACCCCAAACAAGAGGAATCCAAAGAGGACCACACCAAGACACCTCTTACTGTAATTAAAATGCCAAGAGCAAAAGACAAAGAAAATATTAAAAACAGCAAGAGAAAAAAAGTTACCTACAAGGGAGCACCCATACAGATTGTCGGCTGATTTCTCAATAGAAACTATGCAGGCCAGAAGGGAGTGGCAAGAAATTTTCAAAGTGATGAATAGCAAGAACCTACAATCAAGATTACTCTACCCAGCAAAGCTATCATTCAGAATTGAAGACAGATAAAGAGCTTCACAGATAAGAAAAAGTTAAAGGAGTTTATCACCGCAAAACCAGTATTATATGAAATGCTAAAAAGTATTCTTTAAGAAGAGGAAAAAGAAGAAAAAGGTAAAGATAAAAATTATGAACAACAAATACCTATCAACAAGTGAATCTGAAAATCAAGTGAATAAAAAATCTGATGAACAGAATAAACGGGTGAATATAATAGAATCAGAAACATAGAAAGGGAGTGGACTAACAATTCTCAGGGGGGAAGTGGTGTAGGGGGTGCGGGAAGAGACTGGACAAAAATTGTACACCTATGGATGAGGACAGTATGGGGGGTAAGGGCAGAGGGTGGGGTAAGAACCAGGCGGAGGGGAACTATGGGGGGTAAAAAGAGGAACAATTGTAATAATCTGAACAATAAAAACTTATTTAGAAAATAAAAATAAAGAGAGGTCAGGAATAAAAAATAAATAAATGAAATAAAATAAATTTGTTATGTAAGTTTAATGGAAAAAATGAGAAAAGAACTCATTTAAATGAAAACAAACAAAAGAATGAATGTATAAAAGTAGCAGCTAATAAATCTGAGCTACTAATCAGGACAATGTCTGAAAAACACAGAACTTTCTCATTAGTCTCCCATACTCCTCACCCTCAGCATAATTTTAAAGATCATCCATCACTTACTTAATAGTAATGTGTACAAATATTAATCACCTACTGAGAAAAAAAGCAGAAGGCAATATGAAGTTCCCTTTCAGACTAGAATGACAGTTTAGCTAACATACTGTGGGGTAACATCCAATTATTGTCCTTCAGCCAGCTTTCCAAGGACACAGTGAAAGACATTTCACAGAAGCATGAGACAAAAACATAGGCATTTTCTAATTCTAGACACACAAAATAATTACAGAAGAAAAAAGATGTTGCTGAAAGTATGTGCAACAGTGGTTTCATTAGGAGGATAGGATTATGGGTGGGTTTGTTTGTTTTTTTTCCTTGATTCTCTAAAATTTCAATAGCACTAGAGAAAGATACATGCATTTTAAAAAAACTAAAACATTCAAGGCTCAAAAAATAAATTTTCCTCAAAAGAGATCACAACCAAATTAGGCACAATATACTATACAGCTAAGGTACACTACCTGAAGCCAACGCTGGTGGTACACTTTTGAATGCACTTCTTTCTCCTCTTTCCCCAGAATCCATTTTGCTTCTTTCTTAACACTGCCTTAGACTTTAGACCGGCCAGCATATTCCTAGCACACAGATTTACATAAAGAATTATCTTGGTCCTGGCCGGGTAGCTCAGTTGTTCAGAGCATGGTCCTGAAATGCCAAGGTTTCAGGTTTGATCCCAAGTCAAGGTACATACAAGAATCAATAAATGAATACATAAATAAGAAGAACAAATCTCCTCTCTCTCTCTCTCTCTCTCTCTCTCTCTCTCTCTCTCTCTAACTCTAAATTTTTTTAAATTATCGTTTCTTAAAAATGCCTCAAAACAAAACTGTTTCAACAAGCTTCAGGCTAACTAGTACGGAGAATAAGATGACAAAAAGAAGGGACAGCGGCAGAGGATAAATAGGAAATGGGAACAAGTTCTTGCTTGTCTTCCTTGTCCTAGCTACAGAGGGTATCTAGGTTTTTATGTGATTGGCCAGGTCCTATCACCTTTTTAAACTGCCCAAGAGGCAGACCAATCATTACCTATTTAATAAAACAATCTAGTGTTGCCAGCTAGTGTGGCTCCATGGTTGACCTATAAACCAGAAGGTCATGGTTCGATTCCCAAGCACAGTCAAGGTTGGAGGCTTGATCCCCAGTGTGGGGCATGCAGGATGATTCTCTCTCATCATTGATAGCTATTGCTCTCTCACCCTCCTTTCCTCTTTGAAATCAATAAAATGTAAAATAAAAATAAAACAATCGAGTGCTTTTGAAGAACTGTATTATTTGTACTCTGTAGGCAGGCATCCTTAAAGGTTTTCAGCTCCTATGCAATCTATCTTCTAATAACTCCAGAACATTCTACCATCAGTGACAGGGGAAAACCTTCAAAAAAATATTTCTGGCATAGGCAATGGAAAACTGCTTTTCAACAAAATTATAAAAATAAGGATAAAGACTCAAATATGTTATTTCTGTTTCTTATCCTAAAAGGACGTACAGTACGTTTCTATCCCAAAGAACACTTTTCCCGAGGAGCCATGCTACTCTCTCCCAGCTTTTCCTTAGTGGAATCGACTACACCAA